CGAAAGGGCGCGCTTTATTTGCTTGATCCATGGGCGCGCACTTTGTGAACTTGTGGATTATCAGTGGTACTACGTCAAGGACCCGTCCCTCGCGGGTAAGTGAGGAACCCGCTGCTATCGTGGGTTTCCTTTGAGTTTTGAACATTTTATGACGTCAAGGGTGTTATTGGTTCATATTCATCACGTAACCGTTCTGAGCAACATCCCCTAAACATCAAAACCTTGCATTCTTAAATCAATGTCTGTATTTTCCTCGTATTTTATTAATTCATAAGTATATTGATAAATAAACACACATACACAAAAACGAGCAGATGAGAAAAGCATAAATGCGCGCTTACTTGCTTTGATGAGCACGAGCGCTTTGTATTTTTGGATTACCTGTGGCACTACGTCATATTCTTACTACACTTGTGTAAATTCTCGCGCGCTGATTGGCTCATTAAAGTGTGTCAAATAGAGGACATGCGCAGTCTCTTTCGTGCGAGAAGAATGATTTTCACTAACTTTAGAACTAAATTGTTGAACTATTTTGGTTTTGAGTTGTGTGTCCTCTTGTTGATACACCCTTGACGTCATAAAATGTTCAAAACTCAAAGGAAACCAACGATAGCAGCGGGTTCCTCACTTACCCGCGAGGGACGGGTCCTTGACGTAGTACCACTGGTAATCCACAAGTTCACAGAGTGCGCGCCCACGAATTAAGCAAATAAAGCGCGCCCTTTCGTTTTTTTTTTTTTTCGATTTGTAGCATATAGACTAATAGGCCGCCCATCTATTGCTTGAGAGAAGGAAAAGAACGAATGCGCAAGCTTTTATGTTATAGGCGCGCACCCTTAGCAAAATGCTGGTTACCTGTGGTATTATGTCGCGATCCTTTGCCTCGCGGGTACATGGACTAGCTAGTATGTAAACCCGCGAGGCTAGGGGTCGTGACGTGTACCACAGATAATCCGCATCTTGCTGAGAGCGCGCGCCGATAACATAAAAGACATTATTATTAAATTAAAGCTTGCGCATTCGTTCTTTCCTTTCACTCAAGCAATAGTTGGGCGGCCTATGAACAAGTCAGTTTGTATCCAGCGAGGCACATGTCACTTACTAGTTTGTGTCCCACGACGCACGGGATCGTAACGTAATGTCATAATGCGCATTTCACTAAGAGCACGCGTCGATAAATAAAAGTGTGCGCAGCTCGTTCTTTCCTTTTTTCGGGCAATGGTTTGGTAGCCTATGTTTGTAGTCCTATGAGTGGTGAATTGGCCTCGAGCGTGTAGCCATTTTGCCTCTTGATATTGTGATAAACTAACGTTATTATTTTATATGACTGTGATTTCAGTCATAGTTCAGCAGCTAGTGGAGCAGGGCTCTTGGTAATTCTTCGTCTGTGGCGGTTAACKAGAATTGTAAATGGTAAGTTGAATCCAGTTTATAGAACGAGTCGTTTGTATTTTTGAGATACATTCCAAGCTGCATACGATTTATATTTAATAGTCCAGTCATTTATAACAGATTTTGAGTTTGGAGCAAATTGTAATTGATATTTTTCAATAGAGTATAAACRTTAAATGTGTGCAACACTGTCCACTATTTACTACAAAATAGTGTTAATTAAACAATAGAAAACAGGGTCCCGAGAAAACGAAGACCTAGAAACAATAGAATTAGCAGTATTTAGTGGTATTTATGTTGCACAGTTTTAGTGTTTGTACTTTGTTTCTACTGTTGTTTGAAAAATCCCAAATGAGAACATCCTCGCGGTAAGAAAAAAAAGTAMACAAAGAATATACAAATAAATAAATACTGAATAACAACAACGAAAACGAAATATAAACTAAAGGAGACATGTCTTTTAAAACCTTCAGGAATAGTAATGTCTGTGAAGATACAATCTGAGAAAAAAATTGAAGTGCTGGCTAAAGAAAAAGAAGAAATGCAAAAAGAATTAGAACAACTAAAGGCAAGAAACCACGAACTCGAGGTATGCGATGGAAGAGAAACTACTCAATTATAAAATAATAACAAATGATTTGAGTTTTCTGAACCGTATTCTTGGTGTGCAACCACATGACCAGGAATCTCCTCAGTGAGAAATAAAGAACAAAGCTATCGCCGCCATGTTGGATGAATGAACAAGAGAAACTAATGAGGAATGCTTTGTGACTTTCATCCAACATGGCGGCGATGACGTAACTTGCACACCAAGAATGGTTATGTGTGTGCAGAAGACCCATAGCCATTTTAGTCCATAATATCGACTATTATTTCCCCTTGCMCAGCAAACGAGCAGCACTTGGAATCATTGTTAGCCACGGGAGAATATAAATTAGCTTATTCTCTAAGTTTAGTTRGGTAGAAGGGATGCAGCCGTCCCTAGAGAATCGATTTGTAACTGTTCACATTGGTAGGGTTGATTTTTATTTTTTTTTTATTTTTGCTTTTTAGATGCAAGTAAACCTCTTAAGAAATGAGCAGGGCGAGCATTCAGAACAAGCAAAGGATGCATAGTTTCTCGTTCCAGTCCACAATCATATTGTAAATATATTTTGATATGCTATTTTACTTATACTATTCGMAAATTAGTTATTAGTTTTTGCAAAATGGAAAATTTCTTTTGTCAGAATTTTGCAAAGCTTTTTGTCTATAACCTATAATATGTAAATATCGTCTTAGACT